CTAGAATTCCCATGGTTCGATTTTCCTCATTTTTGGCAGCCATCAAGAAAAATATATAAGCTTTAAATCTGCTGGAATGATCCCGGTGATCCCCCGGCAGTTTTCGAGATATTGGCCATTGAAGCGACTATTGTCAACTCGACGCTCGCTAAAATGGCGTCTAATACCTTGGAAAGAATTTGCGCCATCAAAGATTATATTTTCAATGATTTTTTGTTAAAGTGTTAAAATATTATTTAGAAGACTTAGGAGTTGTTTCAATATTTTTGTAGAATTTATATCTGTGCGATTTTCAAAGTTTTTTCTGTCTTTGGCCGACGCGACTGGATCGTGTACATATTCCCATACGAGCTGATCGCCTGATCCTGATGTTTTTGTTGCAAATCGAGCTGCGGAATCCTCAGCATGGACAACTCAGTGTTATAACAGCCCATTTCAAACCAGCAGAGAGCTCCACTTGTTTTAAAACAATAAAACAAGTTTTTATTGTATTTTTATTGTATTGTGGTCAATTTAGTGAAATTTAATAAATATTATGCACGAGTCAATTCCAGGAGTAACCATCACCCCTCCCCCCGGGAACACACCTGGGCATTTGATTTGACTGGTTACGATAGTGCACAGTTAATAGAAGAAGTGTGCCGGGACACAACTAGGAGTAGGAGACTAATGCACGGCCCTTGGGCAAGCTGAGAGTGGAAAATGCCCCACCCCGGGGACGATGAATGCATATCATAGGCATAGTCATTTAATAACATTATACTATTAAGCTGCTATGGAATATTATAAAACTTTATTCGCATGGCACAGGTAATAAGTTTTGCAAAAGTGAAACCATTTGTCAAATCCCCGGCCCCTGTACACGTACCCGGTCCCTGTGCACATATATGACAGGTAAATTCCCGACCCCTGTGAACTGTCTATTAGGCAAATTCCCAGGGGGGAAGGTTACTCCAGGAATTGACCTGTGCAATTATATAAATTTATAGACATCTTCTTGTTTTATTGTTGCATTAATTTTAATCTGAAAAAATTACAAACAAAGAAGGTCAAGAGGTCAAGTGCATGGATAAATTACTCATTTACTTACTAAAGCACATTTTTACAGTTATGTACTTATTTTGCATGAGTGTACATGACAGATTGTTTTAATTAGATATAGAAAGTTATCATTTATAACCCATGGTTTGTTTAAAAAATGCTGGAAAAAATCTAAAAATTTAGCCAATTGAAATAAATGCACTTCAATAACTTGCTAAACATAATTAGTTGCTTTTAGTTGCTATTATTTATATAAAAAAACATCTGTCAACATACATTCATGCTTTTCCTACCACTTAAGTCTCCCATGCACTAACCATGTCTCTGCAAAATGTTTTGGATAAAATCCTATTTTAAAAAAGTCAATCCTATACTTGATATGCTGAACATATTAGACATCCACGACATCTCTTGCAGCAATTAATGGGTGCGGATACTTGCATAGTTCAGAAGCAATATCCAACATGGGGCCATCCAGTTCCATAGTCTAGATCAATTGCTATTGCACTTGGGTCCCTTGGATTCAATGGCTCTAGCCGTATTCTTACATTCACTGGTTTATCTTGTTCATGAAGAGTGAGGTGTGCCTTTTCCCACAGATGCACTTGAATGGTACAGCCTGGTTGATTTCTTCCTCCTCATCACTTAACTTGTCATCACTTTCTACCCTATCACCTCTTTCATTATCATATCCATCCTGAACAGGCTCATGACCAGCCAACAACTCAAGTAAATCTCTTTCTACAAAATCATAACAAGAAAATTATTATTTCATGCAACGTCATTTCTAACATTAGCAAGCTTACACAATTAGCACTTTTTTCCATCCAGCAAACCGCCCTATTGATTTTCTAAAGTCGTTTTTTTTATTAATTCGGTTAGAGTTAGGGTTAGAGTTGGGGTTAGGGGTTAAAGTAGGGGTAGGGTTTGGGTTAGTTACATAGCCATTTAACAACTCTTCTATCTTCCGAAAATGACGTCAGGTCAGTTTGCTGGATGGAAAATAGTGCTAACCATAATAGAACAACACACAAACAATATTTAGATGAAAATTGAAAAATATTAAACTACACTTTGCACATTTAAACAACCATCCACAACTAGATACAAACAGGCATCATACTCAGCAAAAATTTATAAAATACATACAAATAACAATACCTTCAGACTCATCTGAAAACCAATGTCCATCATCAATTGTATTCGCTGTCAACTGATATGATCCACATCGAAATCCAAAAGCATATGCTGGATGTTTTCATTAGCAAACTCATCAGGAATAGGGTCAAACTAAAGAGTTGAATTTAATATTTGAAATATTACGCCATAATTTGTACAGTGTATTTATAAAATTACAGTACAATATTGAAAACAGCAAAGCGGATATTTGAAACAAGTCAACTGTATTGCATTGTAGGATACCAACCTTAAATACTGCGCTTGTTTTCACGATGATGATACACGGAGATTCCATCCAACTTAAAAAGAACAGCCTTGCTATTGGAAATAACACAATTTCTTCGCGGATTATTTATAAAGCTATAAAAAGACAGCACGTCCCATGCAATTTAATATAAGGTAAACTTGGTATAGTAACTCACACGTCATAATGAGGATCGCAACAATACAGCAATAACATGCTATTTTCACGAAGTATTGCAGCCTGACAATCTTGTCTTTCGAATGCTTTCATATTTGTTTACTCTGAGAGATGTTCACTCCACGACAGCCAAAGAGTCATTGAAGCCACGCCTGGAATTAGGCGCTCAAACCTATGATGCTTTGCGGCCTGCTTGTCCGACCTCCTCTGGTACGGGTTACACCCTCGGCATCCTTTCGTAAGATGTTCGGAAATAGTCGTTGCAATGCAATATGTTTGAATTACATGAAGTAGAAGGCATGATATTATCGAAAAAATAAAAATCAGCTAATTTTGATCCTTTTATGACTATGTCTGCGGATTGTTGTGATATAAATATGGGATATTCGTTGATGACAAGGTATTTATAAAACACAATCGTACTTTTCTGCCCCCTGTGTTCAGCTCAAACATAATGGTATCATTTATTATTTTAAACAAGTTTTAACTTGGTTTCAAGTAGATCCCAGCTGTTTAACCATCGTTGTCGATGGACAACAGGGACGTGACAGGGGGAGAGGTGTGAATATTTTCACGAAGATAGAAGAAGGCTGCGAGAAATAGACTAAAAACTAAATACAATCATACAAACGTCTGTTTTATTTCTTGTAGCGACAAATAAATACATATTATTAATATGAACATGTCATAAAAATTAAATGTTGATTGTTGGTTTTACCTTTGCTTTAATTTTGGAAATCTCCATCTCCCTGTCAATTAGGGTTAGATTTGTTATAAGTGCAATCGAAATGGCTTGGATGGAAGAATAACGAGGCCCAATTGTTGACAACCGACACGGGATCACAAAATGGCGCCGAATTTGGACAAAGTTGAGATTTTACTTTTTAGATGGTTAAACAGCTAGGATCTACTTGAAACCCAGTTAAAACTTGTTTAAAATGTGCTTGATATCTTAATATGTTTGAGCTGAATTGCATATTTGGAAGGATTTCAACGGGATCGGCGATAAACAGCGGAGTAAAGTGGAAAATTTTGCCAAATACTTCCATTCGCAGGAGGTAGGTACATTTCAAATTATTATTTCTGTCACAAAATATTAACTATTTTGCACCAAAACAGTGATAATATAATTAAATAAGTACCAATTATGTTTCTATCAAAAAGATTTAGGAAAAAAGGTAATGTAGATTCACTGCTGTTTATTAGCAGTTCTAAGCCATAAATTGACGTTTGACTACGAGTATTGCATTGTCATTTTCTTGTGAAATATCAGTGCTAGGCATTTCACACTTTCACATTTCACAATGACAACCCCTAAAAGCACCATCTCTGAACCACATAAGCACCTCAGAATAGCCAAAGCTTTTATGGTTTGGTATATTGCACTATGGCGAAAGCGTCGTTTTTGGGTGTGGTCAGTTTTGGACGTTTCGTCCCGGATTGGGGTTCGGGCAGCGTTACCAGGTTGTCCGTCATGGTCAACTTGCCCTAAAACAGTTGAGATTATCTGTCCTAAATGAAATGCATACAAACTCATATACAAGTCCTAGACTATACTTGGCTTTGTAAAAAATGAAGAAGTATTAGTATTTTTGTTTTAACTAAATTTCACATTTTATTGTACCTATCAGACGACATTTTAAAAGGAAATTTTTTGTTTTGTTTTGCACTGAAATAATCGATATTAATAGTTTACATTGTAAAATATGTGGCAATAGAGGAAATCAAAGTATTACTGCAACATGTTTTGTCAGTGAATCCAATTTTTGTGATGATGTTTGGCCCTAAACACTCGCTGCAAAGTTGTCTTTCGAAGGCTTCGTTCATGTTGTTTATATTTTTTAAATCAACCAAGTGGAAGCACGCATATCTTCTTCTCCCGCTGAAAACTCGAGCAGTTTTCTTCCATGCTCAGAAAATTTTCCCACCTGTTACTGAGGGCTAAATCCTGAATTTTCACATTGGCCGCCATCTTGAAATATTTCCGCAAAGTGAACTGGAACCTAGTCGATATTTCAGTTGGAAACTTCCGTCGGAAGTACAGTGCACTTCCCAGTTCCTAGCGCGATAAGTTTAAAATAGCTATGATGTTTGGCTGTATATGCAAATATCTTGCCTTTTGACGTTCCTTATGCTAAACCACGCTTTAGATCGAAGCTATATTCGTCCGCTAATCGCAAACATTTTCGCGTTTTTGCCGGTACCTACAGTGTATTTATATAATAACCTCAAGAATTCATGCGATTTCATTGGTCGAGAGCCATGATCTATTAGAGGACAGACACACGGAATTACGTCATTAGTTTTTAAAATGTCGAAAATATTTGAAAATTCCACTAAATTTAGACAAATTGAATGAATTCATGCAATTAAATCTATAAACGTCTATAAATACCTTCGATAAATGTGCAAACATCGATGTTTGCACATTTATCGAAGGTATTTATAGATGTTTATAGATTTAATTGCATGAATTTGAAATCATTTTATTGCAAACTTAAAGTTTATCGATCAAGCCATTTAATTAAAGGCAGTTTAGTTTTATAAAGAACACTTTAAAACGTTTTGCAAAGCGTTTGTGGTTGAATTTTACCTTAAATTGAAGCTTATATTACGTATAATGTCATACCTAACATATATATATATATATATATATATATATATATATATATATATATATATATATATATATATATATATATATATATATATATATATATATATATATATATATATATATATATATATATATATATATATATATATATATATATATATGTGTGTGTGTTGGGAAATTGATAATTTTGTCATTAAAAGTAATATTTTTAGGCGATGTTTCATTTGTAAGAATATTCTTAAAAAAATTATCGTGTTACCATGACAACCTCTGCATCACAACTACTTTAGATACTTCATGTTCGGAAAATAGAATTGTTTTGTCAGCAAGGCGAGGGTTTCTGCGTGCATGTATTTTCTAGTATCTTCACTAATTTCACGACAACTTTTTTTTATTGTTCAACGACACGGATCGATGACGACAAACGATTATGTTTATCAAATGGACCAATTTTTATTAACCAGTCCTCCTTTTAACAAAAGACCGGTTTTGCTCGAATCATTTTGAGTTATGTAATATTATGCGTGTTGGACGTAAACAACATATTTTCTTGTCTGCAACTTTGAGAAGCTTCAGATAAAGATTTCTAAAATCCTCAGTTCTGGTTCTATCTCTATAAAATCAAAAGGACGTTGATGCTAAGTCTTATGGCTATGCCTCTGGGCTGAGAAATACCTCTTTTAACGCGATCAAGGTATCTAAAACAGATGTAACGCGAAGCCAACGGATTATTGATAGCCCGTCCCAAATTTATCACGATCAATGACACGACGAACAGCAACACCTATCTATTAAAGAACACTCCTCCGACAAAAACTCAGAAGTTCACAAACATGTTATGTCATGTGAATACTTCCAATATTACCAGACCCTACTGAACCTACCCAACACACTACTTGCTCAATTTGATCCACATACCACAGAAGCCATCATATACCAAAACTGTGTTATTTTAGATAAATCTATACATTGGTCATTATTGTTATATAAGGAGTCCTTACTTATA